TACTGTCCCAGCTGGCCCTAATGAGGCTCTGACCCCCAGGACCGACTGTCCACTCACACGTCCCACCGCGGCAGTGGTCCCACTCGTCCTGTGAATAGTGCCGAGAGCTCTGCTGTCTTCCTGTTCAGCTGGCCACTCAGCAGCCGTGTGGGGAGACTCATCCTCTGGCCCCTGCCTGGAGTAGCTGACTGAGCAGGAAGACAGAGGAGTCATGGGCGCCATTGGCGGGACACATGAGACCATCACCATGGCACGTGAGTGGATGGTCCGGTTCCAGGGGCCAGACCCTCATTGGGGGGGGGGAACCATCTCTAGTTTGAATAGTTAAAATCCTGAAATAATAAAACAGTTTATAGGGCTGGATGTATTCAGTCTATCTGGGTGCTGGATTGAGGGAGGTCAGTATACCGTTCTGATTGCATTGCCTTAAAAAAGGATATTTTAGAGGTGAAAAAGGTGCTGAAAAGAATAGCCCGAATTATTAGGGGTAAGGGTAGACTGGTAACTTTACAAGGACAAGTTATGACATTTAGGGCTATTTAGTTTGAAAAATAGGAGGCTAAGATGGAAATATGATAAATGTAATATTTAGGTATGTATAATGTGGGTAAGGAGATACTTTTTCCTTCCCATATAAAAATGGAATCTGGTTTATCACCCTTATCCATCGATAATGAAAGATGGAATACTTTGGATAGGCAAAAGAACAGATTTCCTCACAAAATATAGTTGCATTATGGAATTCCCTTCCACAGGGTATAGTAGCGGCCATCAGCTTTGTCTGGCTCAAAAGGAGGAAAAGGTCTGTTGGTGACAAATAGTCATAGTTTTCAGAATCATCTACAGAGTCTGCTTACTTTGCAACCCTAGTTTTAAGAAAAAGCAGTGGGTTTCCTGCATGGTTCCCCATAAGCATCTGGTGGATCAATTTTGGAAATCTTTGGAAATGTTGGATGAGAAAGCTTGTGATCTCCCATAAAATTTTTTGAACATTATAAAGTTATCTTTCCCTCTTTGAGGCCTAAATCTTTCTTAGCTCTCTTGTCTGAGGTACTTCTGCCTCAGTGTAGAATGACATAAATGCAAACCTAGATCTCTTGTGTAAAGTCTCATCTGCCTGTCTTCCTTCTTCTCAGTCTCTCCATATTACCGGACCAAATTACGTGGCCTCTACACCACAGCCAAGGCTGATGCGGAAGCTGAATGCAAGTGAGTATAGCTGAAAATTATGGGGCTGTGAGGAGGCCTGGACTCCCTTCTAAAGTTTCCGTTTCATATGCCTTTTTGCCTCCTCTTCAGCATCCTGCGCAAGGATTTGGATAAGATTGCTGAGATTAAGTCTCTTCTTGAAGAACGGCGGATTGGTGAGTTTGCAGGGTCCTGAGGAGGCAAGATAAAATGTGCTCAGAGACCCAGCGTACTCTGGGGCTATCTCAGGTGAAGGTGGCAAATTTTAGCTCTCAGGTGGACTGGCAGAAGCTGAGAATGAAAGTCAAAGGAGAGAGTTTTTTATCCCAGAAAGAAGCCACTATGCTTCACTCGGTCGCTTGGTTTGGGAAAGTGGGCTCAGGCCTCCTGGTTTCTTTGAACTGCCTTGTGATGTTCTGTCTGAATAACTGGCTCTTCAGTCCTTTTATCTTATTTGCTGGTTCTGCCTTCAGTCCCAGGGTTAATTATAGGGAGGGAATGTAGCCCATCCCAATGACCAGTGGTGGTTCCCAAACATTGGACCCCAGATATTCTTATCCTGGTCCTCTCAGAAGCCTAAGGTAGCACTGCTAGTAATTAGGGCTTCTGGATGTAGTGGGACAATAACCTGTGGGACCTGTGTTTGACAGCCTTTGGAATAGATCATTGGATGTACTAGCCAAGAGATTTCCAAAACTCCCAGAAGTTTCATCTGGAACCTGAACCTCAGACTAGTACAAAAACAGATGTTAGTAAGTTGTGGATAGAAATCCCATCCTGTGACTTAAGAGTTTCCCATGAGTAATTCAAGAAGCTTGTGATATACTTTAAAAAGAAGGTTCATATTTCCTTGTGAGGGAATTGTGCAGCTCATCTGGAAATGGGGAAGGAAGTTATAACATACAGTAGTTAAACAGGGTTGCCTTTCTTATCTGAAACATGGGATACTGGCTCCAAAATCTGCTTCCTTGGAAGATCAAAGGAAGTATTTTTTGTATTTGCGAAGGCTTTCACAGCCGGGATCTAATGGTTGTTGTGGGTTTTTCGGGCTCTTTGGCCGTGTTTTTTAATTATTTAACCATAGAGTTAGCTTTGAACAGGTAGATGCTTGCTTTGAATCTGCCAGTGTTAGAATATTTCAGTCCCTAATTATTTTCTCTCTCTCTGAATAGTAGCAAAATCCTCCTTATCTGTTTCCCCTTAACAGCTGCCAAGATTGCTGGCCTCTACAATGATTCAGAGCCACCACGTAAAACCATGCGCCGGGGTGTGTTGATGACGCTCCTCCAGCAGTCTGCCATGACCCTTCCCTTGTGGATTGGAAAACCTGGAGAGAAGTAATTATTCTGGGGCTCAGTGATTGGCGAGAGCTCACTTTGCTTGGTTATTTGTCAACTGTGCCCGCATCTTTATGCTTTCTTTTCCCTGTAGGCCTCCTCCACTGTGTGGGGCCATCCCTGCCTCTAGCGATTACGTTGCCAAACCAGGAGACAAAGTAGCAGCTCGAGTCAAGGCAGTTGATGGTGATGAACAGTGGATCTTGGCTGAGGCTGTGAGCTACAGCCATGCAACTAACAAGTAAGTATGTTTAGTACATTTAGCACCATAGTGCTGGAACTGAAGCTCATTGAGCTTTTCTCAGATAATTATAATTGCATGCATGCAAGTCAATTCTGATTTATGGTGGCAGGGTTTTCTAGGTAGAGAAGTGGTTTACCATTCTCGTCTTCTGGGGGCATCCTGGGGCTTTGCAGCTTGCCCATGGCCACACAGGTTGGCTGTTCTCCTAGGAGGTACAGTGGAGAGTTGAGCTCCCAACCTCTGGCTCCACAGCCAGCCAGCTATGCAGCCAGCTCTCCATTAGCTAAACCAAAATTGCTGCAAAAACAGTTTCAAAAAATATAGTGGAATAGCTTTTTTGGTAGGTCTGATAAAGGGGGGTTTGTGAGGGCCTAACACAGCTTGCATGTGGCCCCCAAGGTTGTTTTTGAAAATGGGTGGGAATTTTTAGAAAAAATAATTCTGAAAAAAAGAGAATTAGATGCCCTGGAACTTTCAAGCCCAGACAGTTATCCTAAATAAGTTGCAAGCTTATGGGAATGTTCAAGTCTTTTTTCTTAATTTCAGCCTTATATTGTTTCAGTGACTTCAAATTCCCACCTTTTTTCTTCTCCAGGTATGAGGTGGACGACATTGATGAAGAAGGGAAAGAGTAAGTGAGGAAAGGTTCCACTGGGTAAAGGGAAGCAGATTCATCCATGTGGATGGGAGAAATCAGGCTTGCGCACCTTCATTCTCTGCCTCTTTTCTGCAGGCGCCACACCCTGAGCCGACGTCGCATCATCCCCCTGCCCCAGTGGAAGGCCAACCCTGAAACAGACCCTGAGGCCTTGTTCCAGAAAGATCAGCTGGTCCTGGCCTTATACCCACAGACAACCTGTTTCTACAGAGCACTTATCCACACTCCACCACAGCGGGTAAGGAAAAGGACATGGTATAATTCCTCAGTGGGTATTTCACACAGAGCCAGCAAATCTTGCTATTATAGCTGTGCAGATATAGTCCGTCCGCAGAAGGTCTTAAACCTTCTGCAAATTCTTATGGTTCTATGCATTGTGGTGCTGGCAGTTGTGAGTGAATATTGGAGCATGGGGCAGGTGACAGCCATACAGACCAAGACAAAAGCAGGTTAGGGAAGTGGGCTTGCCTGTCCTACAGCTTGGTTGATCTTGCTCTAAGGGGAACTGGCTCTGAATCAAAACAGTTGGGATCATGGTGGACCCAGGCCCTTTCCCTTCTGTGCCATAATGTGTAACTCCCTCCCTTTTATTCATTCCTTAGCCTCAGGATGATTACTCAGTGCTGTTTGAGGACACCAGCTATGCAGATGGGTACTCTCCACCTCTCAATGTGGCTCAGCGCTATGTGGTGGCTTGCAAAGAAACCAAGAAGAAGTGACAATGTGACGATATTGCACAGCAGGACATTTGAACTGTGAAATGGACTTCTGGAACTGAAGAGTTAAAAAAAAAGTTACTCTTTTGGACTACAGCTCATATGGCCACTGACCATAGTGATTGGAATATTCTGGCAGTTCTAGCTCCCACCAAAACCATATTTTCTCATCTCGGAAATAAAACTGTAGGAGCTAGATTTATGGATTCAGGTAGTATACATCTCAATATGATTAAAGCAATCATCTCCTCATTAGGGAAGGCTGCACAGCAAGAGGAGTCCAGCCACTAGGTGATTTGCATCAAAAAAATTAATTATTACCATTGTATGAATCATTGGCACTGTTGCGTGGTAGTCATTTGAAACACAGCAGTGGATACTGTTGGGTAAAGCGCTGTTTGGAACATATTGGGATTGATATTTTTCGGATGCCTTGTAGGAAGTTACATCTACCTATATCCATTGGATTTCTGCTCAATTTTGCTATGCCTGGTTGTCGTTTTGACATGCTCATGTTTAATAAAGGAGCATGTATAGTAAAGCCCATTTTCTGGGTGCTTCCTTCTGCCAAAAGGATTTTAAAAGCCAAAGTGATGGTAAAGCTTTAGTCAGCCATCTGTTCACCACCACCACCACCCGCTTTCCAGTGGAAAGGACATAATGGAACAGAATCCAGCAGCCAAAGTCCAGCAAGGATTATTAGTGTACTCAATGAAGGAATAATAGGGGAAGGAATCATTCTGCATAGTAGAGGGGACTTGGTCTCTCCTGGCAGCTGTCAAAGCTTGTGCACCCTTTTGTGTTATCACCAACACAGAATTTAGTATTTGCTTTTGGAATTTTGCATTTGCCCAGTACACCTACCTTTGCTTTTTCTTTTTGTCCTTTCTCATTGTGTAAGTGCTCTGGCATCTCCCTCATGTGCCACTGAACTTTATCCATTGGTTTTTACGCTTGTTAAACGTCAATGGAACCTTTAAAAGTCTTGCTGATTAACTCTATTAGCTGCCTTGCCCTGCCAATAAGAGCACTGCCAGGATGTCGGAAGATGCCTCTGGTACCAAGGGCTTGGCAAAGAGGACATTGCCTTCTGCAGGGATTTGCAGAGCAGCAGATTTTACTGAGTAGAATCAAGACAAAGTAGTATTGCATTTGATTTGGAAATTTAATACTGTAGCTAATTCGTATTGACCTTCCTACATTTGCTGGCAAGAGAAGGAAACCTTGTGTTAACAAGCTCCTGAACGACACATTGAACAACAGTTCATGTTTGCTTTTCTTGACACATACTGATACATAACACAGAGCCCAGAGGAAAAATTTTAAATTGCTTCAAAGCCCCAGAACATTAAAAGAAGCCTATTCTTTCTTTCACTTTCAGTATAAGCTGAACAGATCAAGAAGGCATATTGATTTGATCCTAATTACTACACCATTAAGGTATACATCACTCTAGAGTTTAAAAAGGCAAGATAAATAATGGCTTGCCTCTGAATAGGTTACAATTGAAAAAAATGGGAAAAACAATGGGAAAGTTGGCGGGAAAAAATAGATGCAAAAGCTGACCACCGGCACCAGCTGTGATTCTCAAGGAAGTTCCTATGTGTTTGTCATCAAGGGAGAAGGAAAGGTAGAGTCATTCAGGACAGCTGAAAAAATTGTTCAGGTGATAGAGGGAGAGATACCACTTAAAAATATTTTGCAGCCAGCAGAGGGCTCCTGTAGGAAATAGGGACGGAGCTAATTTGTGCACACAGAATAGCAAGAAAGAGTGGACTGCTAGCTATGGAACTGCATTATGAGTGTTCAGACCTGTGTAGTTAAAAAAAACAGGATTCCCTTCCCATTTTTATGTGCCTTTGAGTCACCTCGGACTTAACGGTGACCTTATGAATGATTTAACAGTTCTTGTCGACTCTAGCCTGTGGCTTCCCTTAGGGAGTCAGTCCATCTCGTATTTGATCTTCCTCTTTTCCTGTTGCCTTCCACCATTCCCAGCACTATTGCCTTTTCCAGAGAATCTTGCCTTCTCGTGATGTGCCCAAAGATAAAGGAGGAGTGAAAACTGGTACATCAGTAACTTAAGATATGCAGATGATACCATCTTACTGGCAGAAAGCGGCAATGACTTGAAACAACTGTTAGGTAAAGGGAAAGAAGAAAGTGCCAAAGCAGGACTGCAGTTGAATGTTAAGAAAAATCATGACTACAGAACTACACAACTTTAATGCTGACAATGAAGAAATTGAAATAGAGATGTTGTATACCTTGGTTCAATCATCAATTCAAATGGACTGCAGCCAAGAAATCAGGAGAAGACTGAGAATAGGAAGGGCAGCCATGAAGGAATTGAGAAAGATCCAGTGCAAGGATATGTCACTGAAGACCAAAACCAAGCTCATCCACAGTCTTGTGTTTCTGATCACCATGTATGGGTGTGAAAGGTGGACAGTAAAGAAACCTGGCAGGAAAAAAATGGATTTGTTTGAAATATGGTGCTGGAGGAGAGCTTTGGGGATACCCTGGGTTGTGATAAGGACAAACAAGTGGGTCCTAGATCAAAGCCAGCATCAACTACTTCTGGAAGCAAAAATCTCTGAAGGCTTCCTTTCTAGATACTTTCAATATCTTACCCGAAGATTTATTCATCAAAGAGGAGACCACATTACTGAACAAACTTCTAAGAATCTGAACCTACCATTGATCTTGCTGCTAATACTGTATTTAAAAGATGGATTTATTTTAAAATTTTGTTTTTGTAAATTTGCCACTGAAAAAAGGCCACAGCCAAGAAAGGCGGCCAGGCACCATCAGATCTCTGTGCGGAAATGGAGAGTTGATCCTTCCATTTGCTTCTTATAATCTTCATCGAAGCGCTCATTTTGTGCTACTGTGAAATGGTTCTTCCAGTCACCAGTGATTCCTGTGTTGAGGAAAAGAAACAGTAGTCAAGACCCTGATGATTAAATATACAAGGTTGTAACACTTCTGCCTAATTGTGTGTCCATAGGAGAAAAAAAAAGATTAGGCAGCACCTATATTTTCCTGATCTCACATTCCTAATTCACTTTTCTTTCTCTCCTCTGCCATCCACAGCAAGAAGCCGAGTTTCCAATTGGAAACTGATAACACATTTGCATGCCTGCAATTAAAATATCTCATTGTTGTGTGTCACGGCAATCAGATTTTAAAAAAAAACCAGTTCTGAGGAACAGCTAAATGCTGGATGTGCAGCTTAACCTTTCATCACTCCTGCAATCAGATAGAATCCTTTCCTTGATCTGAAAAGGCAGGCCCTGCAGCACCTTCTCTGGCACCTTGCCATTCCCTCTTAGCATCTGATGCTTGAAATGGTCTCCCTTTGACCTATGTTAGAGCCAGCTATGCATCCCAGAAATATCCAGCATTAGAGATCCTGAAGTTTGCAGAACTATACAAAAATCTTCAGTCAGAAAAAGAGAATGAAAAGGCCTGCCTCACTTCCAACAAACTCATGCAAGACTGCTTATGTTCAGGTGAGCACAGGGTATTTGGCACAGGCAAGAAAAACTAGCACAGGAAAGTGGAATGGAGTATCCTGGAAAAATAACTTTCTGGCTCTTTGGAACCCACAATAGGGATGGCCCATACTGTAGCACTTTACTGGCAGTCTCCCTTGTAGCATCAGCAAGAGACATCATCATCATGAAAAATAACATTGACTAGTGTCTTGGTTTGTTTCCTTTCAAGGCTGTTCTGCTTTGTGCCTACCCCTCTGCTGCTGTGATTTTAATTTCTATCTCCTTAGCTTTCCTTCTGATCAATCCAGCTACACCTCTTGACTGTCTCCCAAAATCCAGCCAGCTCACCCTTCCTCATGAAAGGCGAGATACTGTGGTCCATAAATGAGCTGGGAACGCCGGTGTAGTTGGCCATTGGGTTCTGACGCATCTCTTTGAAGGAGGTCTTGTGAGCAATCTTCTCCACCAGCTGGTCATTAGGGGACCTCTCCAGGAATTCCATGACTTTCCGGATTTCCCGCCGCGGATCCTGGAAGAAAAGGAACAATTGTAAGAAGCCATGGCTCCTATCTTGGGAAAGGGAGATGGGAAGAAGGATGTGGCATCTAGAATGTTAATGCTGAATTAAATTCAGGGCTGGACTATCAGCCATCTGGTACTGTTATATTTGGCTACCGAGACTGCAGACTTTCCCCTGGTGTGCTTTCAGAAGCAGCTTGCAGAATACGGGACTAGATGGGCTAATCCAGTGTAAAATCAGTGGATCTCAAAACAGAGTCTGGCTCTTAACTCTCATCATTCCTAACCAGGAATGTCATCAAATAACATCTGGCAGGCTACATGTTCTACACCTATGAGCCTAATCATTACTGATGAAGACAGATGGAAAAAACAAGGACTTCTTGTTCGGAAAACCTTATTATGACTTTTACTTTCCTCCTTGTAGAACTGGAATTAAGAGGTATGGACGAGCTAGTGGTGGAGAATTACTGTTTGTGAGGAGGGAAATATCTTGCCTCTTTCAAGTCTTCATAGAAGAGGTAGAGCATCCTTTGTTCTTTTCGTTTGTCCCACCAGCCTTTGACATGGTCATACCAGGATCCAAAAGCAACTTGGAAGAGAGACAGGTATTTTAGTGAGAATCTTTCTGGAAAGCAGAAACCTTACTTTTACAGTGGAGTAAGGTCATAATCCAGCAGTATAGCACATAGTGTATTGGGGTGTGGGTTTGCATCAAGGAATCAAAACCCCAACAGGTTTTGTAAAACTGCAAATCCCACTAGCCTCATCCAGCATGGCCACAGGCCAGGGATTACGGGAATTTTTCACCTTTAGCAAACACAATCAATGGCCGTGGTAAATGAAGTTGATGGGAGTTGTAATCCAACACATCCCAACACTATTTGGTTCAGGGAAGCTGTATCTTCCCAGCTTATACCTGGTTGGTTTCCTTACCATGAAGTTGATGGGAGCTGTAATCCAACACATCCCAACACTATTTGGTTCAGGGAAGCTGTATCTTCCCGGCTTATACCTGGTTGCTTTCCTTACCATCCCCAGCCATGAACTTCTCCAGGAATTCATTCCATGTTCCGGGTTCTGGGTGCACTTTTGCCATCTGGTAGAAATAATAGTACGAGACTGCCACATCTTTGGCGTTTCTGGCCACGTATATCATCTGCATGTAGAAATGAATATGCAAATCAGCCCAGCCTGCTCAATTTATTCCACTTATGGCAGAGGCAAATGCAAATCTCTGAAGGACCTCCCCACAACCTCTAGAAATCCTGCTCAAATCTCCACTTTTCTTGTGAGAAGTTTTTTTTCTCAGACCTTTTGTGTACTATGTGCTTTCAAGTTGCATCTGACTTATATCAACCCTAACAGTATTTGTTAAGAGAATGGTAAACGACTTCTGGGTATTCTCTACCTGGAATACCCTGAGAATGCTCCTGCAAGTCAGAATTGACTGCACATGATTATTTTATTATTAATAGTGTTTTCAAGAGTGTTGAGATAGTTCAGAAGTGGATTTATCAGTGCCACACACACCCAGTGAGTTTGAAACCCAGATTTCCAGAGTACTAGGATATCACTCCATCCGCTACCCCACAACGGGTACTCAGTACTCAGAATTTACATTGTCCCTATACTTTCAAGCCTGATTTCATAAGAACGTGAGACTTACCTTTGGAAGACATGAAGAAAAAAAATCACTGTACGGTGCAATAATAAGGAATTCTATCCTCTCACCTTGCATTTCTTTTCCCAGAAGGATTTTGGGAGCAACTGGACAGGAAGGTGGGTTTTTATTAGACATGGCCGAGGTGCTTTTTCCAGCAGTTCAATGCCTGGATGGGGGGAAAGAGGGGATGAAGGGGCTTCTCCTGCAACTCTTTGGAGTGCCCTGGGGAGCCAGTGCTTTTCTCCAAGTATTGTCCTGCAGATACACTGCACTAGAAGTCTCCTTTTCCACACTCACTGTTTCCCTTAGGGAAGGTGCCTGAGGAAAGAGTGATTCCAGGCAGTTCTCCCATGTCTCACACCTGTCAT